CGCTCTTCGATTTTCTGTTGTGTTTTTTATCTTGCCCCTTGGGGTCTTTGTCTTTGCAAATTTCGTAAAATTTGTTAAGTGTTCGTCTCTCCTCCTTGGAGGAGTTGACGCTTATCTTTACCCCTTGGGGTCGTCGTCTTAGAAAATTTCGTAAAATTTTCTAAGTTTTTCCTCGCCTCTCCTGTCGTCACCTTAGAAAATTTCATAAAATTTTCTAAGTTTTTCCTCGCCTCTCCTCCTTGGAAGAGTCGGCGTTATCTTTTGCCCCTTGAGGTCGTCGCCTTAGAAAATTTCATAAAATTTTCTAAGTTTTTCCTCGCCTCTCCTCCTTGGAAGAGTTGGCGTTAGCTTTTGCCCCTTGGGGTCATCGCCTTAGAAAATTTCGTAAAATTTTCTAAGTTTTTCCGGTGATCCGTAGATCCCTTACTGCCCCCCTTGTCTGTTTAATATACCTTGGTTTTTTAAGCAGACAAGTTTATTCGAAGGGTGAATTCTTCTTACTTTTGGACAATATTTCTAAAAACTCATAGTTTATTTAAATTGCCAAAAATGTAACTAAGATGTGTTTAAAAAACTACATACATTATTGGTAGTACAGCTTTAGCTGTTTTACATTCCATGGATGCTGAATCTTCTTGCCGGAAAGGCTTTCCAAAATGTAGGTGCCAAGACGCAACACTTCTCTTATTCGGTAGGGTCCTTCCCAAGTTGGGCCCAGAGGTCCAGTATTTTTGGGTTTTGTACTCTGTGTTACCCTTTTCAATACTAGGTCTCATGGGATAAACCTTCGTTGGTTGACTTTTTTGTTGTAATATCGTGCTGCCTTCTGCTGGTAGGCGGCGAGGCGTAACTGGGAGTCGAGCCTTTTTTCTTCTAATAGGTCAAGTTCTCCATTCATGCCTTCTGTATTACCGTCGTCGTTGTAGACTACAGTTCTTAGAATTGGCGTCTCAATTTCTGTAGGCAGTACTGCCTCAACGCCATACGCCATGGAGAAGGGTGTTTCACCCGTGGTACTTTGGCTCGTCGTTCTGTATGCCCACAAGACCTTAGGAAGTTCCTCAGCCCATTTTCCCTTTAGATCGTTGAGCTTCTTCTTTAGGGTATACTTTAATATTTTATTGACTGCTTCGACTTGCCCATTAGATTGTGGATGTATCGGTGCCGAGAAATCCTTTCGAATGCCCAAGCTGTCACAGAATCTTCGTGTTGAGGCATTATCGAACTATTTCCCATTGTCGAACACTATCGAGTGGGGGACCCCGAACCTGCACACAATGTTGTTCCACATGAAATTGGTGCAAGCTGCCTCCATGGTTGTAGTCAGAGCCTTTGCCTCTGCCCACTTTGTATAGTAGTCTACTGCGACGATGGCAAACTTAAAGCCTCCGGGTGCAAGGTGTAATGGCCCGATTAAGTCGACCCCCTATTTGGCGAAGGGCCATGGACTAAGAATGAAGGTTAGGTTTTATGGGGGTGCTCTAGGAATTGTGGCATATCTTTGGCACTTATCGCAACACCGAGCGTATTGGTATACGTCCTTCTTAAGCGTGAGCCAGTGGTACCCTTGCCTCAAAATCTTAAGAGCTAAAGATTGCCCCCTGTATGATTACTGCAGACTCCTTCGTCGATTTCTTGAAGGACCTTCTGGGCTTCGTCACTGTCCAGGCACCGCTGTAAAGGTGTTGAATAGCCTCGGCGGTAAAGCAAACTGTCGTACAATAAGTATTTGGCGGCTCTATACCTGATCCGTCTGGCCTCGTATTTATAATTTGGAAGTTTTGCATCCATCAGGTATTGGACGAGCAGCGTCATCCAACTTTCGCCTGTTTGGATGATTAATTTCTCAATTATTTCCTTAATGGTCGGCCGCTCCAGTTCTTCAATAGGAACGACCCCTAGTGCGTCGGAGTCTTTTGAAGATGCTAGCTTTGCCAGAGCGTCGGCGTTGGTATTATTGGCTCGTGGTATCTGAAGTATCTCGTAGTTTTTGAACTTGATGAGTTCTTCCTTTACCTTCCTCAAGTATGCACCCATTTTCTCACCGCGCGCTTGGTATTCTTCTTTCACTTGCCCGACGATCAATTGAGAGTCGCTGAAGATGCTGAGCCTTTCAATTTTCAAGTGACTGGCCAGTCGCAGTCCCGCAATTAGCGCCTCATATTTTGCCTCATTGTTCGACGCCTTAAATTTAAATCGAACCGCTGAGGTAATCTTGTGACCTTCTGGGCGGATCAATAAGACGCCGGCTCCTGACCCGTTATCGCTCGACGCTCCATCCACGTAGAGTTTCCATTCTGTCCTCTCGACTTCTTCTGGTGTGGTGGGAGTCGGTCTATTGGAGAATTCAGCCAGAAAATCGGCCAGCGCTTGGCCCTTGATCGCTGCTCTTGGTACATACTTAATGCCGAACTTGCTTAACTCCACCGACCATTTGAGAAGTCGACTAGAGGTTTCAGGCTTTTACAGCGCCTGTCTCAACGGGGGATTTGTAAGAACCCGTATTGTGTGAGATTGAAAATAATGTCGAAGCTTCCTCGAGGCTACCATCAAGGCGAGGGCCAAGCATTCCATTTCGGTATATCTTGACTCGGCGTCGAGGAGTCTTTTGCTCACATAGTAGATTGGCAGCTGGACCCTTTCTTCTTCTCTTATTAGCACGGAGCTCACGGCGTGTTGTGACACGGAGAGGTATAGGCTAAGCTCTTCATCGGGGATGGGCTTTGACAGGATTGGGGGCTTGCCCAAGTGCTCCTTCAATTTCTGGAAGGCCTCTTCACACCGTGGTGTCCATTCAAAGCGCCTACTCCCTTTCAAAGCATTGAAGAAGGGGACGCACTTATCCGTCGCTTTTGATATAAATCTGTTTAGAGCGGCGACACACCCTGTCAACCTTTGCACCTCTTTTGGTTTAGTTGGGGACCGCATATCCTGCAGAGCTTTAATCTTTTCAGGGTTAGCTTCTATCCCCCGGTTACTGACCATAAAACCAAGAAATTTCCCTGATCTAACTCCAAAGGCGCATTTTTGGGGGTTCAGTTTCATGTGGTATTTTCTCAGTATACCAAATATTTCACCCAAATGGTCGACGTGTTGGGTGGCCCTGGCACTTTTCACAAGCATATCGTCGACGTAGACCTCCATTGATTTCCTGAGCTGTTGAGCAAACATCTTATTCACGAGCCTTTGGTAGGTAGCCCCCGCATTCTTTAGGCCAAAAGGTATTACCTTGTAGCAGTAGAGGCCCCTGTTGGTTATGAAGGATGTGTGCTCCTCGTCGGTTGGATACATGGGGATCTAGTTGTACCCAGAGTAGGCATCCATAAAGCTCAGTATTTCATGTCCTGCTGTGACGTTGACCATTTGGTTTATCCGAGGTAGTGGAAAACCATCCTTTGGGCAGGCTTTGTTGAGGTCGCTGAAATTGACGCTTGTTCTCCAACTTCCGTTAGGCTTGACTACTAGCACGGGGTTTGAGACCCATCGCGGGTAATGGGCCTCCCTAATGAACCCATTGTTGATCAATTTGTCGACCTCCTCTTTTAGTGCCTCGTACCTCTCTGGGTTCATCGGTCGACGCTTCTGGCGCTTAGGGGGATATGAGGGGTCAATGTTCAGAGAATGGCATATGACCTCCGAGTCGATCCCCTCCATGTCGGCATGATTTCAAGCGAAGACATCCAGGTTTTTCCTGAGGAAGCCCTCGACCTCAACCCTAAGTGATGGGGTTAGGTCTGAGCCTACTTTCAGTACTTTGGTTGGTTTGCCCTCATCGACTTGGATCTCCACCAACTCCTCGATGGGTTGAGACCATGTGACCTCCTCTTGGATCCTGGGATCTATGTCTTCGACGGTGCTTTGATAAACGATCCTGGCCTCATGCCTTCCCGGCTAGTCATATCCACGCAGGGCATCGGAGTATGCAATCCTAGCCTCATACTGATTGCTCTTCATTTCGCCCATGCCATTTGGGGTAGGGAATTTAACTTTTTGGTGGTAAATGGAGGTGACTGCCCTCAGCGCCTAGAGGGTTGGCCTTCCAATCACGGCATTGTACTGGGAACCCCCCCTTATTACCACAAAATTAGCCATTGTCGTGGCCTGTCGAGGTTTCTCCCCTGCGGTTATGGGCAACCGGATAGTCCCCTGAGGGATGACGGAGTCCCCTGTAAAGCCGTACAATGGCCTGGAGGTCTTTTCTAGCTGCTCCTTTGGAATCCCCATCTTTTCCAGGCAGTCAGAGTTTAGATGGTCTACTGAGCTCTCGTTGTCCACTAGGATCCGGCACACAGTATGGTTCCCGATCATGGCTTCTACCACCAATGCGTCGTTATGGGGGAAGTGAACTCCGCTGGTGTCGTCTTCATTAAACGCCACGTCAGTGCTGCTGAATCTTGGTGTTTTCACAGCGGAGACACTCCAGAACCTTTCTTGGTAAACCCCCTGGCCTCGTGGGCGTAGTCCTTCTGAGATCTCCTTGAGTCTCCCCCTATATAGGGGCCGCCGAGGACAGTTCGTATGACGCCGATAGGTTCTCGGTCCTCTGGGCGCTGGTTCTCCTTTCGGCGTCGACCGTCATTCTAGCCGCTGTGGCCATCGTTTCTAGGTCTCCGCTCGGCTTTGAACTCCTGGAGCCTCCCATCGCGGATTACTCTCTCGATCTCATCTTTAAGATCGGCGCAATCGTTGGTGTGGTGGCCGACGTCGCCGTGGAACCTGCAGTATTTTTTCTGGTTCCTTCGGCTAGGGTCTGACCTCATTGGCTCTGGGCGGCGCAATAGATTCCCGCGGCTGACCTGATTGAACACTTCCTCGGCTCCTACTATTAATTCATGGTAGGAATCATACCTTTGAAACGGTCGAGGCTTACGGTTCTCCTCTTGCCTCGGCTTCTTGGTTTCTGGGGTGTTCGACGTCGAAGCGGGCTGCTTGTTCCCGTTTCCTCCACCTTGTCGCTTCTTTCCATCATGCTTTACTGGCGTCGGCCCTTGTTCGGTCCCCTTGTTTTTGTTGGACCGGTGCTCAGGGTCATTCGCATCCGCTTCCTCGGCGTTTATGTAGCCTTGCGCTCATACAAGGAATTCCTTATAACTGGACGAGGGCTTTCGGTTCAGGTCTCTTTTGAAGGGAGTAATTTTCTTCATGCTAGACAATGCCCCCATCAAGGCCTCCCGGTCGGTTATGTCCATCGTGGCGGCGATAGCTTCCCCATACCTCGCAAGCCACTCTCTCAACGACTCGTTTAGCTTCTGGTATAGCGTCGTCAGATTCTGCTTTGGGGGGACATATTTTTTAATCCCTATGAACTGGAGGGAAAATGCTTCCTTCAACTCATCCCAGCTTGAGATAGAGTTTGGCTTTAGCCTTCAAAACCATCTTCGGGCAGAGTCCGTTAAATGGTTCTGGAAGGCTCGGCACATAATCTCGATCTCCTCAGCGTACCCGTGCAAGAGCATGTGCCCTGTGTACATCTCCAAATGGTCATCGGGATCCCCTCGACCATCATATGGTGGGATCGATGGCGACCTGTATTTATCGGGGAGAGGTGGCGCCATTATTTCTGCAGTAAATGGATGGTCGTGTGTGCGGCTAGGCGTGATGTCGACGTTTACCACCTCGGCCACTCACCCTATGTTCTTTTTTAGGCCGGCGACGTCACCTGTGAGTTTTTACTCTAGGTTGGCCATACGTTCCATAATGGCGCGCGCTTCTTCTGCCGAGATGGCTGAGCCAGCTACTCTCGACGCCTCTGCCCTTTGGACGTTGGGTCCGCCCCTTGCCTGTCCGCCTGCCTGTACTGACCCTGTGTCTCCCGGTGGGTTTCCTCTTGGGTTCTGGGGTAGTACCTCGGGGTTCCCCAGGCCTCTCGCTATCCGGTCCTTAGGAGCCCGGTGCCCGACGACCCTTAGACGGCTGCCAGAAGATTGGGAAGGTCGAGGCCTAGGATGGCCTCTATGGTTTTTGCTGTCCCCGATTCCTTCTAGGTCGTGTTGGCGGTCACTGGGGTTGTGGTTTTCAGCCATGGCAGCTTCCAGCAGCCTCGGGGCGTCTTCTAGAGGCGGCATAGAGTTCCTTCCGTCCAAATGCTCGACTACGGCCATTAGTCCACATACCAGGTCGGTTAGAGTGGTTAGTTGGGCCTGCATCTGTATAGGGTCCGGCTGCGGCACGTCTAGGGGCGGGACTTCATTTCTGACTGGAGGTGGACCTTCCTCCATCCCATCATTCACCGGATGTGTGGTGGTTTCGTCCATTTGGCTACCTTGGTTGATGGCCTCAATTCTTCTTCTTGGAGGCATGCTTGCTGACTGTGTTGTTGTTGGGGGTCAAACACATGAACCACAGATTCTGGGTTCGATCCCCAGCGGAGTCGCCAATTGTTGACGGTGAAAACTCGTCAACAGAAATAGGCCGGGTCACCTCAAGGTATCCCGTTGGATTACCTGCTTGATATTGACTGTATACTCAGTTTATGCAATGAAGTGTTTGTTGTATTTTGCGAATGGAGAGCAACATGAGGAAATATGCTTGAAGTAGAAGAACACACGGAATTTATAGTGGTTCACTCTGTTAATGAAGAGCTACATCCACTGTAGTGTTATATTTCTTTTGAGATTGTTACAATTTACATCATTTGCTGTTCTCTCGTTTTCTTTTCTCTCTTCAGAAGCCAACCCCCTAGCGTATGGGGCTTTGCCTTTTTTATAACCCAAGCTTTCTTCGTGGGTGATTTTCCTTCGTAGGTGGAAGTACTCGAGTGGCCTACTTTCTAGGCTAAGATCGTAACCCACTAATCACTTTTGGACTGTTCACTCAACCGTTGGGTCTTCTATTACGGCTCTGTGACTTCCTATAATCTGTTGCTTCCCACCGCAGGGCGGTTTAAGGGTTTATAATTAATGTCTGCACTGCAGTCACCTCGGGGGTCCCACGTTTATACGGTTGACGCTGTCCGGTTACGGCAGAGTCCAGGCGCAGACCACAACCTGGCCGACCTTAGCTAAATCGCCTTCCCGGACGAATCATATAAACATCGAAGGTTAATGGGGTCGGCGGCCTAAACGATCGACGCCTGCGTCCACGCAACCCCTGTGGGGCCACGTGGCATGCCATTGTTGGTTGACGTGTCCAATCGTATTTTCTGGTACAACATAGAGTAATTATTTTAGGTGATCAAAGTCCACCTTAATCAATGCAGTGATGGTTATGATCGCAAAGAAAGTGTGGTTTGTTTCTTGGGGAAAAAAAATCTATATAAAAAAATAGTCAATTGATGCATTTAGCCAAATAATTTCTTTTGGATTTGCTAACGAGTTAGCCATAATAAAGATTTCTCAATATGATACACATAAAGGTTAGGATATTGCACATCATGTGAATTATATTAATCATTTTCCAGATAAGGAGGAAATAAGCATGGGAAGTGAATAGTGACATCTGCCTTGTTTTTTTCCCTCTTTAATCATAGCATTTAGTTTGTAAAGCATTACCGTCCAAATATCTGAAAAATAAATTTATAAATTTAATACTTTCAAAATCATTATTTAAACTTAAAATATAATTATAATTTCAAAATTATAATTTATCATGATCCGATTTAAATCTTCTTATTAAACAAATTCTTACCATTCACAAACTGTGGACTTCCCCCCACGAAAGTAACCCCTTCCCACTTACCATCATTCTTGGTTATTTGGGACAAGCATATTCGACATACATTGGAACTCTGGGGCTTTTGATGTGTGCATGTTTGGGTTTGACTCCTATTACTTTTATTGTCTCTACTTGATCATAAGTTCGTAATTCGGTCTTTTGCACGGAGAAACTCAATTTTTTATACCCGACCCTTAGGTTGTTAGAATCTTGTCCAATATGTTTTTTTCAGATTATTCAACCTGGAAAAACCAGTTAGACTATTGCATTATGAGCTAAAATAAATAAATAAATAAATAAATAAATAAATAAATAAACCCCCGGGTCACAAACCCACCCCCCCCCCCCCCCGAAAGTAACCCCTCCCACTTACCATCATCCATGATCACAAAAGTTGCCATAAAATTCACGTGGCTTCCATTATTATTGGAGAAAAACAAAAGCCTACGGTTCACAAACTGTGGACTCCCTCCCCCCCCCGGATGATCACAAAAGTTGCCATAAAATTCAGGATGGAAGCTACCATCATCCATGATCACAAAAGTTGCCATAAAATTCACGTGGCTTCCATTTTTGACAATGACTTTGCCAGTGCCACCTGTTCTACTCACTGGAGCGGCCTTTTAACGTATGATATGATATTTGTGTTTTGTTTTTGTTTTTGTTTTTTTTGTTTTTTTTTATTTTTTTGTTTTTTTATTTTTGTTTTTTTCGGGAGTAAAGAAGAGTTAAACTGTGTTTAGAGTCGGTTTTATTTTTATTTTTTTTGAAAAAAAAGGAGAAAAATTGTGTTTGACATAATTAAAGATAAAAGAACAGAAATAAAAATAATTTTTTAATTTAGTATAAAATAGGAAAGAAATAAAAAATAATTTTTTATTTTTTGTTTCCATTTTCTACTCTCTCGAGCACAGAGAGATATTAATAGATTTTTTATACTGAAAATAATCTTTTTATAAAACTACCAATCGCATTTTTAAAAATAATTTATGTCTAAAATTAAAAATATTTTCATTTTTATTTTTTATTTTTTATTTTTTCTGTTTTTAATGTATTAAACCCTTCACAGGCGAAGTTAGAAGTAGTGCCGAGTAGACAGTGACTACCGGTAAGGTGAGCCGAACTCAAGAAGTGAAGAGGCGGTGAATTATTTCCTTCCTTGTTGCTTATTCTAAGGCACGTATAACTTTATGGTTTATAACCTTAAATACTCATAGACTGTAGTTGATGTCTATATTCAATTATTTGCTTTGTTTATGTATGCTACAATATAGATTTTTCTGTGGAGAATCCCAATATGATGCGAGAGGCTTCTTTTGGAATTGTTTTATTTGCAAAATTGTTAATTTGATTTAGTTTGAGTTTTACTTTCATCTCATGTGCAATTTCTATGCCCAAAAAAAAAAAAACCTCTATAACAACCATTATGAGTTAGTTTGGTATTGCTTTTCGCTTCCAAAATCAGTTTCTGCTTGTAGCAAAAGCTGACTTTAACTTTGGTAAATTTTTTTAAAAGTGTTTTTTGAAGAATTTTTGAAGAATTTACAGCCAAAATCAAAAGCAGCCCAATGACAATTGTGCAAGAATAAACATAGTACAATTAATAAAATTTTCATAATACCCTTAATAAAATTTAAAATTTACAACCCTCTCAATCGAAAATTCAGACTAGTAATATAATATAATATACTATAAATTAATTTGGTTATTTGGGACAAGCATATTCGACATACATTGGAACTTGGGCCTTTTGATGTGTGCATGTTTGGGTTTGACTCCTATTACTTCTATTATCTCTACTTGATCATAAGTTCGCAATTCGGTCTTTTGCACGGAGAAACTCAATTTTTTATACCCGACCTTTAGGTTGTCGGAATCTTGCCCAATATGTTTTTTCAGATTATTCAACCTGAGAAAACCAGTTAGACTATTCCATTATGAGCTAAAATAAATAAATAAATCTAACTAACTACAACATAAAAATGGAACTCAAAGTAATAACTAGTAGAATCACGAACATTATTATTGGAGAAAAACAAAATAAAAGCAAATCCTCTCCATAGTACCTAAACCAGCAAGCTTTGGTCCAGGCGAGGAACTGAACTTGAGATGGCAACACTGTTCGTCAAAATATATAATAAAGATGAACAGAATAACTGGAAATAGAGAATTATAGAAACTAGTACAATTAAAATTGAAAACTACAACAATATAAATAATAATAACAATAAACAAAAATAATAATCTGGAAATAAAAAAAAAGCTTTAAATTGAAAATACGGAAGTATGTGCATTCCACAATTTTCTTAAAACAGATTCACCCCCTCATCATAGGTACAACAATGTACTAGTAGCAACGTAGAATTTCTGAGAAGAGAGAAAAACTCTGAAATTTTGGTGTGTTTCAACTGAGGAGTATGAGTCCCTTCTACATGGCTTAGAGGAGACCATGACTTCTTCTCTTTCCGATATTGGACAAAGAACTTTTTCACTTTTTTCGTATTTCTTTAAAGTTTTTCCTTCGGTTTTCTCAACTTTATGAGAGCATTATAAGAGTCAATTTCTCATTTATCCGATCACTCACTATTTTTAACATATAATTACATCATCAAAGAGGTGATATTTTAATAATTCCACACCATTAAATGGACCCCACACCGGCAAGACAGATGGGAGACTTAGGTCTCGTTCATTTCACCGGTTTGAGTTTTCAGTTTTAGGTTTCTACAGTTAAAAGTTATCAGAAAGTGTCACATCTATTTTTTTTCTGCTACAGTTAAAAGCTCTCAGAAAATATCACATCTTAGTTCGAATTAAAAATTTGAATCTGCAAAACGAACGAGATCTTAATAAGGTGATATTTTGTAATTAAGATGTTTTGAACATAGTCCTATATATTTTGTAAAAGAGAAAAACCTAAAAAATAAGCATGGAAAGTGAATACTGACATCTACATTGTCTTTTTCCCTCTTTAATCGTAGCATTTGGTTTGTAAAGCATTACTGTCCATTCCTTATTTACAGTTACTATTCATCTTTGTAAGGAGCCGCAAAACGATAAGGTATACAACAGTTTTTGAGTTGGAGAATTTGTTGTCTATGGGATAACTGTTCTACTAACTTTTTATAACAAATATCTGAAAAATAAATTTATAAACTAACATCATATTACAAATTTAGCCTAACAATTTAAATATCATCACACCTCTCGGGGGTAAAAAATACTCGTGCCTTAAATTAAATGCTCCATAGTTAATTGGGAAAGACCTACAAAATTAATAGTTAAGTTATACAATTTACTAAATCATGTGTTCAAACTGACAACATCAATAATATTTGATTTAATTTCAATTCAATCGAACGGATCAAAAAATAAATTAACATTTTCTAATAGATTTTTCTCTCCAAACCGATTGAGAACCATGAACACCCCTAAATACCTTAAAGACAAAATTAAGGATCCTCTCTTTTTATTGTATTACATAAAAATTAGTGCTTAGAAACAAGCTGATTGAACATTTTAAGTACCCAAAAAAATAAAATTATTTTAAAATGAATTTTAAACGCACTATTCGATTTTAATATTGAGTTACATGATGAAAGTAACCCCTTTCCACCTACCTCCGTGATCACAAAAGTTGCCAGAAAATTCACGTGGCTTCCATTTTTGACAATGACTGTGCCAGTGCCACCTGTTCCACTCACTGGAGCGGCCTTTTAACCTATGATATGATGTTTGTGTTTTGTTTTCGTTTTTGTTTTTTTGGGGAGTAAGAAAGAGTTCGGTTTTGGTATTGAGTTACATGGTGAATTCTTGGCCTTTTAAGCAATAATTAGTTACGAATTTCTGTGAAAAAATACATCAAAAATTTTAATGGAAAATTTTTAAAAATATTTCTTGAAATTGAGCCATTTTATTTCGATCCCTTAACATTAATTTAAATATTTTTTTAAATTAGAACTAATCAAAATATATAATTTTTTAAAAATAATACTTTTAATAAGTTAAGTACTTAAAAAATAGAATATATAATTTTTTTTTTATTTGGGGCTTGGCCCAAGTGAGGCTGCAAGCTATCTTAGGGCAGAGCCGGCTCCGCCGGAATCAACTCATGTCTACGACAGATAAACAACAATTCAATGTCTAGAATTTCTTTTGGATATCATAAATTAGTAGTGGTTAAGTAGACGGACTATAAATGGACTAGTCGAATTCGTTCTCCTGTTTTGGTTTTTACATCAATTAATTGAGGCAGATTTTTTCTCTAAAGAATCGTTCATACTTGAGGGATTCCGTTTGCCGTTTAAACCATCCAAATCATTCAAATGTTTTATGCGGAAGGAGGTCATCGGCTAGAGGATTCTCTATTATTTCTCTGAATTTCTCTCTAATTAGTTTGTTCGTTGTAGTCATTGGAAGTGCTTATGGATTTTTATGACTAAGCTCCCTTATAAGAGGAGTTTAGATACGTTGACTCCATTTTCTTGTCTCAGTCACAGTCACTTTACTAATTATTTATTATGTCATTTAAATTTAGAAATCTAACCACATAAATAAAAATAAAATATTAAAAATACTTAAACAAATCACGATGTGTCAAAATTTAATTGAAGAGACAACTATCAAGATAGGAAAATGAAACAACAAATCTTGATTCCTTATAGGAGTAATTATTTAGGTGATCAAAGTCCACCTTAATCAATGCAGTAATGGTCATCAAATGTATTTTGCAGTCATGGTTATCAAATGTATTTTGTTTCTGAACCTTTTCTGGCAGAGAAAACAAAATGTGGTTTTCTTCTTTTTTTTTTTTCTTTTTTTTTTTTTTTTTGCTTGAAAAATTAAAGCGTGGTTTTTTTTCTTGGAAAAGAAAAAAAAAACTTCAAGGTGTACATTCTTAGCAATTTTTAAAATAGCCAACTGATGCATCTCGCCAAGTATTATTACAACTGTGCATTCTTTTGGATTTGCTAACGGGTTAGCCGTAAGTAAAGATTTCTCAACATGATACGCATAAAGATTGGGATAACCCATATCATCTGGACCACATTAATCATCTTCCAGAGGAGGAGGAAACAAACATGAACTAGTATCTGAAAGCTAAATTCATAAACCAGTATCTTATTACAAACTTCATCTAAGGGTTTAAATTTCATCACACATCTCGCTAGGAAAATGTACTCGTGCCTTACATTAAACGTTCCTCAATTAAGGGAAAGACCTAAAAAATAGTTAGTTGGTACAATTTACTTAATTATGTGTTGAAAACCGACGACATCCATAATATTTGATTTAATTTGAATTGGTTTCCTTCAAATATTTCAAATTAATCGAACCGATCAAAAACTTAATAAACATTCTTATTATTTGAATGATATATAGATTTTCTCTCCGAATGGAATGAGAATCATGAATTAAGACAACGTTTGAATCCTCTCTTTTTATTACATCACATATTCGACCCCAAACGGCTAGCCAAAACTGGTGCTTAGCAACAAGTTGATTGAACACACTTTTTAAGTACACAAGTAATTTTCGTCAAATTCGATTTAAAAGTGTTCACCATATACACTACAACAAAAAATCTCATTTGCGGCGACGCCATGTCGTCACAAATAACAGGTTTGTCGTCGCAAATATTTTATTTTCGACGACATGTCGTCACAAATTAGTCACCGCAAATAATATATTTGTGACGACATAATTTTAAAATATCGTCGCGAATAAGTCGTCACGAATGTTCCGTCAAATGTGTCATTGATAATGGCGTGTCATACCGTATTTGCAACGACATAGTGTCGTCGCAAAAGGTTTTAAGTCTTTAAAACCTTTTGCGACTAAACCGTCGTCGCGAGTAATGTGGACTATTTGCCACGACACTTTAGTTATGTCGTCGCAAATAGTATTTTCTTTTTTTTCCGTACTTTCCTAATAATATTAATTAATAAAGATATAAATTTGAAGAAAATTTAATAATAAAATAGAACAATAGAATTGATATAAAATAGTCAACATAATAATAAGATCAGCCTTAAAATGTAAGTTAATCAATAAATACTACAAAGTGTTGATAATAAAAAAAATAAAAACATATATTTTAATCTCCTAAATTAGGAGCATCGTCATCCTCGTTCTCGTCCTCGTCTTCTTGATCGATATAGAGGTTGTTCAGTCTATGAAACTATAAAAAATGGAAGTAACAAAATTTGATTATATAGAATTCACGAATAAAAAATATCGTTCATGTGTTATAGAATATAATACCAGACTGACAATGGACTGGGAGTCTCGTCGGATTGGGTGGAGGCTGTGATCCTCCTGCAGAGCTGGTGCATGTAGCTACTGGGCCAGACTTCATGACTCTATTAATATAATTTAATTTTATTAATGAAATTTTAAGAAAATTTCGGCATCATAATGACTTATTTTTCTTATTATCCAAAAATCCAAACCTGCAAAAACTAGCTTTTAAAGGATTTCAACACACCATAACTGCAAGATGTGCCACCCAGACAAGTCATCAAAACTTTTAATCATAACCTAAATCAAATTACAAGCATATCTCATAAAATAACATCCTAAAAAATTTACACACAACTTATACCAAATTTCAATAATCCTAAAATTCATATTCCAAAATTTAATATCTATAATATAAACTTCAAATTATATACTAATTTTAAAATCTATAAGTCAAAATTCAAAATGTAAAATCTATAATCTAAAATTCTAACAACAAAAAACCCAAATATTATAAACTAAAAAATACAATAAATAGGTAAAAAACTTACAAAGTTCAAACGAACTAAAACGGGAGCTGAAAACAGTGAAGGTGGGGCGGCGGTGGAGGAGGGCGGCGGTGAGGAGAGGGAGTATTTTTTATACTTTTTTTGATGAAAAAACACTTAAAAATGATTAAAACTTATGATAAATGTTGATTTGGTGAGGATTTAGAAGAGAATAGAGGGAGGTTTTAGGGTTTAAAGTCGGAAGCTTGGGAGAGGCCAAGAGAGAGAGAGAGAGAGATCGGAAAAAATAGAGGAGAAGGCTCTGGTCGTGGGTATCTATAGACAACGTTTTTTGCAACGATAAATAACACTATTTGCGACGACATTGTCGTTACAAATATAACTTATAAAAATATTTGCGACGATAACTGTCGTCGCAAATATAACTTAAATTTTTAATATTTATACTAATGTTTTGGAATTATTATTTGCCACAACGTTGTTCGTTGTTGTCGCAATTACATTTTGGGAACCGCCTAATTTCCCCGCCATTTTTTTGCGAGGGAATTCAAAATAGCTATTTGTGATGACACATATTAATGTCGTCACAAATAATATTTGGGAACCGCTAAATTGACCGCCTTTTTACTCGGGGAACAAAAAATAAATGAATTATTATTTGGGACAACAAGTGTCGTCGTAAATAATTCTTTATTTCTGACGAACAATCGTCACAAATATTATTATTTGGGCGGCAAACGTTGGCGCCAGACAACATTTGCCACTAACTACATATTTGTGACGCTTTGTACATTATTAGCGACGACAACATTCTCCAGTCATACGAATATTATTTGTGACGTTATTTTGTCGTAAATAGTTAATTATTTGCGACGACAAATGTGTCGCAAATGGAGCAAATTGTAGTAGTGATACGTGGGTAGGTGGGCATCAATAGATACCCACTTACCACTATGATCACAACAAGTGCCATAAGGTTCACGTGGCTTATTTTTTGACAATGACTTTGCCAATGCCAACTGTTCATCACTTCTACACATTAACTAGTAGATTTGCCAAAATACAAATATCATAGCAAGCATATTTTGTCCTTAAACCTTCTGTCCTTAATTTTCATTGATCAACCGGAATTCTCTTGTCCTCACAATATCAATGGCTGATCTACAGCCGAATAAGCAAGAACTTATCAAGATAATCGAGCAGAGCAAGGTGTCTCCACCGCCGGGGACAGTCCCGACGACCTCTCTCCCTCTCAGCTTCTTTGACGTGCCATGGCTTCTTTTTGCCAACATGCAACGTCCCTACTTCTACGAATTCCCTCACTCAACCCACCACTTCTTAGAAACCCGACTTCCTTCTCTCAAACACTCCCTCTCCCTCACTCTCCAACACTTCTTCCCCTTCGCCGCCAACCTCATCCTCCCTCCGCCGCCCGCGAAGCCTCACATTCTCTTCGCGGAAGGCGACTCGGCCGTTTCCCTCACCGTCGCCGAGTCCGCTGCCGACTTCCATTTCCTCTCAGCCAATCACCCGCGACCCGTCCGAGCATTGGACACGTTCGTCCCCAAGTTGGCGCCGGCACGTGTGGATGGCGACACGCGTATGGAGCCTATTATGGCCTTGCAGTTCACCGTCTTTCCCAACTCCGGCATATGCATTGGCCTCCGGTGCAACCACGTGGCGGGAGACGCGAGGTCGCTTCACCACTTCATGAAATCATGGGCGTTGGTTTGCAAGACCGGAGGAGATTTGACTTCGCTTGATGGAGATTCAGGGCTGCCGTCTCTTGACAGGACCGCGGTGAAGGACCCGTATGGGCTTGAGCTCGTGTTCTTGAAAGCTTGGTGGAGTTTGGCATCGACATGGAAAAATGAGGACCAAAGATCAGTCCTTGACACTGATGATCATCATAGCCTCCGTGCCACGGTCGTTCTGTGCCGAGACAAGATTGAGAGATTAAGGCATTGGATCACAAATCAATTGGCCAACGACAACGAGAACTCCACAACACTTCACATGTCGTCGTTTGTCGTCATTTCCGCGTTGATTTGGGTTTGCTTAGCGAAATCAGAAGAGAGAAATTCCAAAGTTAATAAAGATGATGATGATCCTTACTACTTTGCCTTCGTAGCGGAATGTCGAAGCCGCCTCGAGTTTCCATTGCCGACGACTTATTTTGGGAATTGCTTGACGGTGTGTTTCGCGCCGGTGAAGGCGGCGGAGCTGTTGGGCGAAAATGGGGTCGCCACGGCTGCCAAGGCTATTGGGAAGGAAGTTGGGGAACTGAACAGGAAACCTTTGAAAGAGTTGGAGAATTTTTTGATCAAGTTCAAGAAAATCAAGGATTCAGGGTGGAAACATGTTACCGTTTTGGGATCGCCAAAATTTGGTCTTTATGAGACGGATTTCGGGTGGGGGAGACCCAAAAAGTGCGAATCCATCCATTTTCGTGATTCAACCGCTTTTTTAATTGCTCAGAGTAGGGACGAGAAAGGTGGTGCTGAAGTCAGTTTGGTTCTTAGCAAGGATCAAATGAGTCGTTTCAACGCCATCTTGGAGGAAATCTTGATGGGGTTGGTCTGATTTGACTTTTGATTTAGGTTCCAGTCGTTTGTCTTTCCTTGATGTTCTTCTCGTTTTGACGATTGTATTATGCTTGTTGTCGTCTTTTATAACTATGTGTTGTTTCAGGTAACGTCACTCAATTTTTTTTATGTCGTTTCTTATAATCGTTGTTTTTCTTTATTGCTTGTTTCGAGTTGTCGTGTTTTTCTTCTCCTCATTTTTTGTTTGTTCTCATTTTTCTATTATTATCGTTGTGTTTTCCATGTCGTTTTTCGTTGTTGTTGCCTTTGTTGTTTGTTCCATGTTGTCGTAGTTTTCTTGTGTTGCATTTTTTGTTATACTTTAACTTTTCAGTTTGCTTGTCATTGTTGCAGTAGTTTTTTACTTGTTTCAGGCTCTCGTCGTTTTACTTTTCAGTTTGCTTGTCACTGTTGCAGTAGTTTTTTACTTGCTCCAGTTCTCGTAGTTTTACTTTTCAATTTGCTTGTCATTTTATGATTCTCTGCTAATATAGATATTGTATTTTGTACAATGACGATGAATAATGAGCGTTTTCTCTACTTCTCTTCGTCTCTCATCTCACGTATACCACCTTATATTTATATTATAACACGTTATTAGTAAGTGTCCGTAATTATCTTTCTAGTTGATTTAGAATTGCTTATAAGTTGTTTTGAAGATCATCTTGGATTAGGCTCATGTCTTCGAAACTTGATAACTGAAATTATGAAGTCAATTTTAAGATTCAAAATAGCTATTTCAAAAGTAAAGAAACCGGCTTTACAGGGAAAAAAAAAAAAAAAAAAAAAAAGATTTCTTTTTTCCCTGGGATTTAATATGGAAGGAAACGCAGTATAAAGACAACCTCGAAAAGTACAAGGCACATTGATGCCAAAAACTCAAATATAAAACCAATATCAACAAAATATGATTATGAAAAGACAGATACTAGAAAACATCGAACTTGGAAGGACAACAAGAACAACAACGAATTAAATCAACATATAAACGAAAATAAAGCCCAGAAGAGCATCAACTACAAACGACAATATCAATGAAGGACAAAAAAACAACAATATCAGTGAAGGACAAAATTCAAAACAAAACGACAGAAACAACGAATATGTATAATACAAATGAAATGCGAGATGTATATTAAAATGACGTTGGCTAAGGACAATGATCGCAAAAACAAGATAATCCGGGAAGCCAACTCTCTCCTCGAAAAACAAAGTATAAGCGAGGTGAATTACAACATAATGAAGAAAGTGTGAGCAACATGAGAAAACGACAATTAGCATTTGATATTGAAAGAGAAGCACTAATGGAACCACTAAGAAAGCTCACTTTGGATTTACTTATCCCTTATTTCTTACTTTTTCATGTAGATGAGCTTCCAAGAAAACAATCAACAGTCAATCTTTTTCGTAAAGACTTGCTTAAGAGACGTGAAAATTCCTTTTCTGAAGTGGTAATATAATATTCATGGAATCGTTAAAGGTCTTGTGGTCTTATATTATGTGTATGCATATACACAAGTTATTATTTTTTTAGCGGTTTCACACAACGTTATTTTTCGTTTTTCAACTTTTGTCGTTTCCTATCCTATGTCGTTTGAGGGATATGTCGTTTGTTGAGATTATTTTCTTGTTCTGTTTTATCGTGTTTCAGTCGGTTTATAGTTCGATTACTTCGTTTCTATTTTTCTCAAGGGTGTTGTCTGCAAGTCACTCATTTACTGCTAGTTGAAACCGCCTAAGTAAAGCGGGCACCACATCAGAGAACATTGTATATATTATACATACTATTAAAGGAGGCACTCAGGTTACTGTTTTTAGAATAGTGCCCGGTCCTTCTTCTCCCTCTTCTTTAAAAAAATTCCGGCTATGTCCTAAATTTGTGTCTTTACCGTTTTATCCTTGCTTGCTTATTTTTACTTTAGTTTTTGTTTGGGTATTTTTGTCTTATCCTCTCAATCTTCTCAGTTGCTTTTTTGGTTACGTTGTGTGAATTTTCCTTTTTGCCATTAGTTTTTTTTCCTCATTCATTTGTGCTTTGTTTGACCGTTTTCATAACTTTGGTAGAAGAGAAGTTTCAGGTCTTTTCTTTTCATTTCTTTTCTTTTCTCCGTCTGTCGTTCACCTGGCATGTCTTGGCAAAGAGTTCCTTTCATTTGCTATGAAAATGTTTTTCCTCCTTTTCCTCTCTTTATATGCAGCTTTTCTCACGCGTATTACCTCGGTTCCTTTTTTCTTTCCGTGAATGTTCTGGGTTTCATTTGTTCTGAAAATGCTTTGTCCCCTTTGATTTCCTGCTTCTTGCTTTTGTTTAGGGGTTATTCAGCCTTTACGGTTTTTTTCCGGTCAATGTTTCTAGACTTTTTTTGTTCTTAATATGTTTTTCGTCTTCTTCTTCTCTCCTTTTTTTCTTGGTATTTTCGTTTGGGCTTCTTACCCTTTGTGTTGATTTTGGTTCGGTGAAGCTTCAACGAGAAACCCTTTGCGTTAGGGTTTTATGTCTGTCAAATTTTTAGCCTTCATTTCTTGCTTCGATTTCCTTTTGTTTATGGGTTATTCTGCTTTCTTAGCCTTTTGCTTTATGCTTTTCTTCTTCTTAAGTTTATGTTTCTGTTTAGTTTATTTATTTATTTATTTATTTATATGTTTTGTTCTACTCATTTTCTTTCCATTTTTGTTAATCTTCTGGATTTTGGTTTGGTGAAGCTTCAACGGTTTATTATATTTGAAATTTTTGCTTCCATTTTTTTTTTCCGTTTGCATGTTCTCTGATTATTTTTGTTATCCCTTTTTTTTCTTCTGTTTATTTTTTCATCTTTTTCTTCCTTTTTAAATCTTCTATTTCTTCTCTGAATAATTTATCTTTTTTTTCATTGTTTGTTTTGGTTTGATTTGTTAAAAAAAAATTTCCCTTTTCATGTTCTATGTTTATTTCCCTTGTCTTTACGGCGTCGTTGTCTCTTTCATTTCCCCTAAACATTTTTTCGCTTACTTGAAGATCAATTTGCTAAAGTAAACATTTAAAAGGATGTAAAAGAATATTTAAAGAAGACATATCAAAAAAGAAGATTCTTACTTAACAAACACAAAAGAATGTAAAAGGAAAATTAAAATATGTAAGTGAGGATATATTTGTAAGAAATTTATTTTAACGAAGCCAAATTGAGAAAGGAAAATAATCTAATGAAGTGGATTAAAAAATATTCTACAACACTACTATAGGAGGTCGAGTTTTCCTGTTCAAAGAACAGTGTATTTCTTTTTTTTGCCTTTTAATTTTTCTCTTCTCCTTCTCTTTTAGACACGTGGTTATTTATTATTTATTCCTTTTTTCTTTGTGTTGTTGCTTTGACTTCTTTGTTTTTCTCGGACTGTCGCCTCCTTTATTTTCTTTTTTGTTGACAATTTTTTCTTTTTTTATTTTTATTTATTGCAGCTCAGAGGAAATAAGAAAGAAAGTAAAGATGAATAAATATATATATATATGTATATACACTTTAATATGTAAATAAATATGTATTATTTACAGACTAAACTTTTATCATATAATATATTTTTTTATAACATATTTTATCCGTGCTATTTGCACGGGTAACACACAAGTATGTACTAAAGGAAAGGACTGCTTTCCCTGTTCATGCTATAGTGCAGTATCTTTCCCATTTTACCCCTAATATCCCTTCCTGCGTTGGTCTAATATCATTTTAAATGTTAATTTACAACAATGTTCTTTATTTCATCTTCAGTTATTTTCCTTCATTTCCTCAGTTATTTTATTTCCTTTCACTTTTTCTCTTCTATCTACTACAACCTTCTACGTTTTTCTTTTTTTCCTTCTCTTTTGGAGCAAATTTTCTCGCTCTTCCTCTCTCTCTTCCGGTTTCTTCTCTTTCATTTTTGGTTTCTTCATTCTTTTCTTCTTCGTTTGTTTCGAAAGGAAAATTTTTTTCTCTACTTTTTGTTTTCTTCTGATGCTTTTGCATGATTAGAGTTTTGTTGTTTTGGTATTTTCTGCACTATGGCAGTGTATAAATATTTATGTCTTCATATAGTTTTTTGTTTCTTCATTTTCTTCTTTCCGATTTGTTTGGACAATAAATTTTTGTATTTACCTTTTTTTTTTTTTCAAGTTCTTCATGCAGAGGCATTTGGAAATGTTTTTCATCTTAGTTTTTTTTTCGATCCATTTTAGAATTTTACAAATGTCTCTTTTTCTTTATTTTTGTTTAGTCTGTTGTCTTTTGTCATTCTAGCCAATTAGCTTAATTAGTTGTTCTTCTTTTTCATTTTCTCAAGACTCTTACTATCTAACTGTGTTAATTTTGTGGTTTGACACGTGTTTCTTTTGATTACTCAACTTTGTTTAACGGGAATTTGATATATGAATGTCCGTTGCTTATTGGTTCCGTTTTGCAGTGGTTTTCCATCTTCCAGACAGCTGCTGTTGAGTAATCATGTTTTTGATATATCTATTTTTGCAGGACTTTTTATCGGAGATTGAGAAAAAATTTGATGTCGTTCTCTATATATAACATGTTTTGTTTTGTTACAACAACAGTGTATTTTACTTTTTACAATGTATATATGCATGTAAATATATTTTAATTAACAATACTATATATATCTGTGTAAATATATTTATAAAAATTTCAAATCTATCATATAATACAATACTATTTTCCGTAGTAAGGCGCGGAATACAAACTCATAACTTACTAAAAATATCATTTAACAATCATTTTAGGCCCCGTTCATTTCATCGATTCGAATTTAGATTGAATGGTGTGACAGACTTTTATGGCCTTTTCTCTGTTGACGTCACTAGAAGATCATGCTCTTGCAGAAGATGGGATTTAACTGGGACCATTGGTTCACATGCATGCCATTGCTTGCATTTGGCATAAGGATGAGGAGCCTCAAAATTACTTGGATCGGTGCTATAGCAAGGAAACTATTTGATGGCTAATGACCCGCCAATATTTCATCTGAAGCCGATAACATTGGCCCGAAAGTGGGAAGTTGTCACTCTTGAAGCCTAACTACAAAAGACAACATGGTCGACCTAAAAAAGTTTGACGCCTTGACCATGACGAGGTCATAGATGAACTGAGCAATAATTAATTACGAATTTT